CAATTAACATTAGAATGTATGCAAATTAAGGGTAGTAAGATCAAAACTAACCAGAATTTCTCCTGTCTGCCAAAAACTTCCTGGCGGCTAAATGAACACCGCTTCAGTTCCCAAACCTCTCCGCAGGGGTGCCCCAGTCATTCCGTGTGTTTGTTAAACTTCACCACCAGCTCACTTTAATTTAATTAGTTAAAAAAAGTCAATGATGTGTTGATTAGCCATGTGTGCTAGCGGTCGAGTAAAAAATAAAAAATGTATGGCTGTATTGGATGGGTGGTGTGAATACAGGGGGGGGGGCTTTAGGAGGAGTTTTGAAATTGCTAAGTTGGCACATTTTGACGGACGTAATATAGTTTTACACCGACATATAGGGGCATAGGGCATAGTACCCATTATTCAATAATATTTGCTATGATTATGCTGTTGATTTTAATAATCACATGTACAACGAATCATATTAATCCACATCAGTTAATTAAGTACTTGGTTATTTTTTTATTTTGATTTTTGCCATTAAACTGGAAATATAATGATTGGTTGATTAAACAATGATGTAATGGCTGTGATTAAGTTATTAAAGTATTTTAACTAAAAATGTAATAATTTGCCCATAGCAGTTTTCTATGACAATTAAATTCATTTTAGCAAAATGAAACTTTGCAGCAGATCGAGTTAATATAGCCGAGGCAAACGAATGCATTTTGCCTACCGTGGTTTAAATTGTGCGTTTAATTTATGCAACAGCTCAATCAGAGGGAAGAAAAAGGTTAATTAACTAAAAAGCTAGGCCAGAGCAAAAACCGTCACACTGTGAGGCCCTGCAAGAACAGGAACAGAAACAGGAACAAATTTAAATGGAAAAAAAACATATAAAAAAATAAGATAAGCTGGCATTTGAGAGTGATGCCTCTTGAGACCACATAGGGTGTTATTTATGAATTGTATAAGGTTTGGTATCTTGTTGCTCTGAATTATTCTCAGAACACGGTGCTCTGAATGTTGTTTCCCTCTGTGGGGTTGCAGGGTAAGCAGAACGGCTGTTTTTCTCGGAATAAATGCTCATGCGGCTGCTGGGGGCTCCAGAGCTCGCTATGAATCTACCGTTCAGTCGGGATGGGTGGTAAACAGATAAAGGGGCGGAGCCAAGTAAGCTGGTCCTCTGGATGTGGGCTGTCAAAGGCTGTGGGGGGGTGGAGCTACAGATGATGACCTTTACAGCGCTGCTACATCTCATCACATAGCGTTTACGTTCAGGCCATCCGGGCACAAATTAAATAATTGCTGTTTCTGGGGCCCCAATGAAAAGATCCAGATGGTTGAAAGACAAAATAAATAGCTAGCCAATGGAGTGATAAGATCATAGCTAGCTAACTGGTTAGCAGAACATACTGGTTCAGCATCTCCTAAATAAGGAAAGCGTTTATTCAATATTTAGTATAGTGACTCTTAGTGTGGCCCTCCCAAACCTCGGGGGGCCCCACCTAAATACGTGGTTTGAGTGACGGTAAACACCGTGGGTGAAAATTCCCTTCCTCCTTATCAGACCTTCTGCCAGCCTGAAAGCCGCTGAGATGCAATGTGAGATGTCTGTGATCCTGCGCTCTCGTCCGCCTGCAGCCATCCAGGATACGGGCGAACAAAATCATGAAAAATGTCTTTGCGATAAAGAAAAATCTGCCCCGAAAACAAACAGACAAACGAACAAACAAACTTGTGTGTAAATAATCTTCACTAATACACCTGCTTGGTCTTCCGGTCGTCATGGCACCCCAAGCTTGTGAGCTGGAGAGGAAAACACATTAGGGATGTTTTATTTTACATGACGCAGCTGAACTGGGTGCCGACGAGCCGCTCGTCACTCGCGTGGCGGATCGGGCTGTAGGCCGGGCTGCGGATCCGCTTCCTCGCGGAAAGGTGTCTTCATCAATCACACTGGGCTCCTCTCCAGTAAGACTCAGGCACGGACTTAATAAAAACCACAGCCTGCTATATGCTCGACCTGATGCCATTTTTCACCGCTGTCGTGGATTCTCAGCCTCAAGCTGCTTAGTTGCGGCAAACGATAAAAACTCACGCGACCCGAAGGATTCGGCCGCGTTAGAGCTCGGTATGAAATCTGGAAGTAGGCCTATATAGAAATGTGGACGGTGTAGCTCTGATATTAAAAAAAAAATCCCGTTTAATCAAGTCGGCTGACTCGTGAGAGTTACAGCTTACAAAAAAAAAATGCAAATATTTCAAAACAGCAGTGAAGAAGAGACAATTATGTCTGGAGGTTTACATTTAATGTCACATTTAATGTCACTCTGAAACCAATACCAGAAAAAACAAAAAACAATGACTGGATGAAGTTAATTACAGGACCTTCCCTTCGATTAACGAAATTCAACACAGAATAACATCCGCCTATTTTATTGTTGTATTGCAGCATTGCAGAATTGCTGCAATTTTGAAATGGAAGAATTTATGGTGAAAGCCAGTAGAAACCCATAAGGAAAGATACTGTCAGAGACGCCGGTCAGGTCCCTGGCTTTTTCATAAATGTCGACTTTTTTCAGCTGCTAATCCTCCGTTCCTCTGGAGCAAATGGTTGTGTCCTTCATTGTCTGTCTCTTGCTCTCGACTGCGTCACACATTTCATTGTGAATGGGAAAAAAATATACAACGGATACAACTGACGTCCTCTGCATCCGGTGCTGTGACAATAGAAGATCCCTCTGCACACGGGCCGGCATTTTCTGATTAGTGCTGCATAATTGCGACATAATTGCTTGTTCCACTCGTTTCACCTGCTTTGGCATTTTGGCATCGAGTCAAACAACGCACGCAGATACCTATAGAATATCTGTCCTTATTGTATTTCCAGTTTAGTGGCAAATAACAAAAATCCCATAAAAATGCAAGATGCTGTAAAACTATTAGATAGGGCTATTAATTTCGACAACATGCTGTTTTAATTCCCTGCTATTTTCCAGTTCAGAAGCTGAACAATTTGTATATCATAATTTGCAGTCCATTGGCTAAAACACAGAACATAAATGTTAGGCTTAACTGCGGGATGGATTTATAATATGTGTAAAAACACGCTCTTTTCGCATGCAATTGGGTGTCGTTTGTTCAGTCATGTAGGTATAATTTCCCGTAACAAAGCGGCTTGAGTGAAATTACTATGTTTTTAAAATTATTATTTAGAATCATGCATGCACGTTCCAGCATAAATGCATTTTTCCCCGAGATGTATAACTCAATGGTTTCAGACATTGTACAGGCATTGAACCAAAGTTAGCATCTGTACCATTGCCTGCAATTCTATGATTTTTTTTTTAAAGTGGGTAGCACAAGAAGGGTCAAACTTCATACTGTATTGTTAACCAATAATATGTTTTGGATCGGTGAGTGACAGGGGAGGAGGCACGCTGAAGGCCAATCAGCTTTCAGTTGGGGCTGGTGCCCCTCTGGGCCCGCCCCTGTATACTCCCCGACTTTACGGTTTGTCTCTTAGCGAATGCTTGCAACTTCGCAACTTTTGCTCCGCATTGACATATAGCTGAATAACCGAGGTTCAGCCCTTCCTGAAAGCTTAAATTTTCAGGTACGTAACCCATGTAATTTACACCTCTGCTGGCTCGCCGTTGGTTTTCCAACCTGCAGGTGCGCGAGAGATTCTAGCCCTGCCTGTAAGGCCCGGACAGCTAGAAAGAGATGAGGTTCCATTTCAAAGAACTGGAGCTGGTTATAAGCTACATCAAAGCTTTGAAGGTTCCGGCTTTAATTCCTGGCTGGTAAATTCATCCTGTCGTGCTGGAAAGGTTTGATGTAGCATTTAGCAGTTTGCAGAGTTCGATTTGGTGACCCTGAGAGTTGCCATTTACGTATGTTGCTTTTGTCATTTTAAAACTGACGCAGAGGCAATTTTCTAATCGATGGCAGCTGTCCAATTTAAAACACATAACCATTGTACAGTCCCATTGAGCTCCTACTTACCCTTAGATGTTGCGAGATGCTGTTTTGGTGTTTCAGAAACTGATCAGGCCAGATCCAAGGGATGGAACATGACAGGAAGTGCAGGTTCAAGCTACTTCCTACCATCTCTGGAAATTACATCATAAACTTCATATATCTCTTTTATAAATATCTCTTATTTTCTTCAGAACTCTGTGCATGACATTGGTTTAGGGATGACCTTATTTTGAATGCTAAATGCTAGGTGAGTCCTAGCAACTAGAGGAGGCGGGACCAACCAATCAGATGTTTTGGTCCTGCCTCCTCTAGTTGCTTAGACCCTCCTCCTCTACTATCTGATTGGTTAGCTCTATGAACCAATCATTGTTCTTTCTGCTCTCAGAACATTTTTGTGTAAGGTAAAATCCCCATCCTACCTGGAACATACCATGATAATCCAGCAGCCATAAGTGGTACAGAGCTTAGGTCTTGGGGGGGGGGGGATGACATCTAAGCAATCGCACCCTGACAGGAGCCCATGCCAAACTGGTACTCGTCAGCAATCCTGGCCCTTAGGGGGCATAATTGCATCCACCAGCTCCGCAAGAATCCATTACTGCAATTAGCCAGCAATCCATCCGTCGTTTGCGTGCCCCGGGTCCCCATTTGATGCCACTTAGACCCGAGATGAGAAGCTGGGAACGATCAAGGACGACAGCAGAAAAAGGTGGAAGATGCTCTAAACGGAGAACAATTTCCAGAAGGACAAAAAAGTTTATTTCTTTTGTATTGAATCCCATCCTTTTGATCGCCCATCGCTGACCTCCAGAATCTATGATCTTAAACAATAATGGAGATGCCCATTTGTATTACCAGAGCCCCCGTTTGCAGGGGAATTTGATCTGTCAAAACTTACTTACTTTTTTCTGGGTGAAACTATTATTTTCCTTAAAAAAAAAAAAAAACCTCATCAAGCAGAAAATTATGTCTCGTTCATTTTACATGAAAAATTTTCCATCCTCCCCTTCTCATATAATTTTTCCCGAATGCACAGAATGTCATTTTTAAAATACTTTTATTAATAGTTTTACAAGATTGCAACTCAATTCATAAATACAAACTTTATACTGAAAGTATCATAGATTTGAGATAGTTGCTGACATTGTCGCAGTACTACAATGCTCTCTAAATCCGTGTTTGAATTTGCATAGAATGTGCGAGGATCTCAATTCATACGACAAACATGAACAGTTTTAAGTAGACGATAAACACAGAAAAAGCAACGACTTTCAGCCTCCCAAAAATGTGTTAAAGCACTTGTTTCAGCGTGGAGGTGATCTTCTGAAGGGAGAGAGCTTCCCAGAGAGGCTTTGATAGCAACAGCCTTGCTTCCTTGGACACGGAACACGGCGGAAATTTAAGGAATTGGGGAAAAAAACAGGATCTCTTTCAAACACCAGAGGACGTGTGTCACAGATGTGGTATGGGGACCTGGTCGTGTTCGTTTTATTTACATTTCTATTGGACACACGGGAGAACGAGCATGCAAATTCGTACCCAAGGTCGCCGGTCCCCTCAATTGCACCGTGTCTCTTTTTACGTACATGTCTGTATCGCTTACGTTGCGTGCTCCTTCATTAGAGCACGAGCGCCTACGAATTGACACGTCGAGTAACACATTTTTGCGAAGCCAAGAGCCGCGAAACGAAACCATCCGGTGAGTCGTCCGCACGCACAAAAATTTATTCGAGGAAAACCAGTCATGCTGCTTTACATTTCTCACAGAGTTTGGAGATTACAGCGTAAGATGAAACAAAAATTTAATGACTCATAAATATAAGGACTCACACAGATAGGTCTGAATTAGTTCAGTTGATTTCTTTTCACTGGAGGGGTGTGTGGCCTGCAGTAATAGCATTATGAACATAAAGTTCAATTAAAATGCATTCATGTGGTGCCGCAATTTTGAATTAAACTGGTCATGTTGGAAGGTGGTAGCTAAACCTTCGTTTGACGCATCAGGCCAACTATGTCGCAAAGGGTGATGTTGAAAATGAAAACGACCTGCAGATACGTGGATAGATGCACGATAAATGTTTGAGTGAGTTGGACCATTTCTATCACTGTTGAGTTAAATTAGTATAAAAGTATCACGTTCTTGCGCAGAATGTGACGTTACTATAAATAGCGCCTGCCAGCCTCCGTCGCCAAGGCCGTCCTTGAGTGGACTTGCATGCCATCAGGACAGCAAGGCCTGTGGGACCTGGGTCCAAGGGCTCTTAATTTAATGCCACCCCAGGGGCTCGCCATCTTAGGTGCTGATCATATGACCACTCCACTCCCGCAGACTCTCCGCAGAAGCTTCTGTCGCTTCACGTTATTGAGACAAAAAGAGAAGGAAGAAAGGAAGACTGGCGGGGAAAAACAGGTTTTTAAGGTTGCCACCGGCTCGCGACGCACAAAGTCCCTCTTATCACAGTGCCTTGCTAAGCTACTTTGGAAAATAGTATATAGTTAATAAATAAATATTAATGGAAATGCAAATACTTAATCCATACGGGGACAATTTCAGAGGCATTACTGGAACTCTGAGCAAATCCCCAGTAATAACTATGCATTGTGAATAAATAAATATATATGTAAATGTATTTAATCCTTAATAGGGTGCCTGGCAAGAATTTCAGAGGTATTATAGGAACACTTAGCAAATTCCCATTAATAAAAGTATCTGGTAATCTGGTAAATAAATAAGTGTAAATATTTAATCCTTTTGGAGGATTTCGTATCAGAATTATTAAATGAGCAGTTAGCAAATCCCAAGTAATGGGACTTCTCAGCTACACTGTTTTCTTGAGCTAATTTACGCCTGTTACCTTATCCCTTGGAAAGCCGTCGCAGGTATGATAAAGCTTTAGGGTTACTTTGTGCAACTTAACTTCTCTGAATAATTCAGTGTTAACGGATAGCCACCGTCCATACTGGCACACTTGTGCTTTGTCAGATTTTTTTTTGTTATAGTTTATAATAATAATAATAATGAAAGCAGTTGGCTTAGCGTAGAAAAGCATGAGGGAAAGCATTCTCCAGGAAAACCCTACTTCACTGTAATACAACAAAAAGGGGGCAGAAAATCCTACAAAGCAGAGTACTGATGACTAAAATGTGTAATTCGGTTTGCCCTCAGCAAACCCATTCACCCCCCCCCCCCATGACCATGATTAATCTAAATGACAATGAGATGTACTGAAATAGGAAAAAAAGAAAGATGGAATTTAATACGAGGACGGTATGAGGCTGGGTTAATTAAGCAGGGCCGCAGATATACGGAGGACGGCTGGAATTTTGTCCAGAAGGGGGAGAGTGACACAGCCCCCCAGTATCTTCAAGCGATAATGACTCGGTCCCATTCAGATACCCTCATATCAAACGTGTGCTACGGATCCCTTCACACTGCAGTAAATAAGGTCCTCCCCTCCATCGGGGGCAGCGTTGTGATGGTGGGTGCCTGTCGTCAGCGCCAAACTGCTGTGCCATTAGCGTAGCTCCCCTCCAGTTTTTGGTTTATGTCTCTGTCAATGACTGAACTTCAGCGTAAAAAAGAAACAGAGGATAACGCGCAAGCTCTTAGTTGTAAATATTCCACACCGTACGTGACAGGAATGCAAAGAGACTCGACCCCCAGCTGACGTAAAACCGTGTTTGGGAGCCCTTTTGGGACCAGAGACTAACAGCGGTACGCTAAATGCTAATAACACCATATTCCCAATGTTGTAGCACACTGAGCAATTAAATAAACTCTTATTTACTTATGCAAGACCAGTTTCGCTGAAAGCAGTAGCGGCTGGTGGATAAAGAAAATTGAGGAGGTAAGAAGATAATACGATCACGACATTACAATACTGAATTTCTCCAGTGAAGAGAGAACATGTGTTTACAAATGACAATAAAATCTTAGTACTGGGTTATTTCAAAGTTACTTGTTTCATAATTTAATCTCAAAGAAATTGGACGCACTACCTCCTGTACCTCTATGGACCAGCTGCCTCTGCTTGAATGTATAACTCCATTTCTGATACCAACCAGAAAATTATTATTATTCTTTTGATCTCCATGATTAATGTTTTGTAAGACCTCCACTACAGTGATGCACACAGTTGGGGATCGAGACCTCAGCATTCCTGTTATTTAGCACATTTTAATGAGAAAAAAAGACAGAAACAGAAATAAAAGAGACTTCCTGACAGCGGTCAGTGATGTGCTTCTCCTTGCATTGAAATAAGGCACAGACACAGTGTCTCTCTTTGAACAGAGCGGGCCAAATCTGCTTTGTCCCAGTACGAGCATCCGCTTGGGTGACCACCCAAGATGGCTCCAGGAATTTCGGTTATGACTGCGATGCAATTTACATTTGTGGGGTGGTAAAGCATCTGGCCGATGTTTTGGGAGGGGAGAAGGGACGTTGGAATGGGACTTCCTTCTAAAATATCGGAATTTCCTCAATCTGGGCCGCTGTCAGCACTTCGTGATCGTCGAGCTTGTGACAGCCACAGCCCCCCCCGAAGAAAAAATGCCGAGCAGTGCCACTGGCCGAGAAAGCTCAGAATATGATAGAGCTGCCCCACAGCTATCTAGAAACCGAAATGACACAAGATGGCCCTACATCAGGAGGGGGGGGGGGGAATATAACGCCCCCTCAGGTTTGACAAAAGATGCAACATGCCCTATGCTCCCTGCTGTAGGTCGAGGGTGGGAAAAATTAGTCCAAGGAAATGAGACTTTGAGGGGACGAACTTGAGAGTTGGGGGAGAAATGGGGGGGGGGGGGTCAGATTTAGCTACGCAGTGATCACCCTAGCTGTTCTGGTACTGAAACTGTTCTCAGATCATTGGATAGAAAGGTTACGGGGAGAGTCTCTCTGGAACGCCGGTGTGCCCCGACCCCTGTCCCCTCTGGTTTGCAGTGGGGGGTGTAGGGGGGGTGGGGAGGGCATCTCGTCTGCACACGTGTCCTTAGAGGCAGACGTTGTTGCTGATGTGGCAGGTAGAGCCCGTCCCAGCTTGGGAGAGGAAGAGCTTCCCGCTGGGACAGAGACACACCTCGTACACCGTCTGCCTGGTGGCCATGGGCGAGGCCTTGCCCTCGGGCAGCCTGGGCAGTTTGATCTTTTTGGCGTCCAGCGTGATCTGGAGAGCAGGACACAAGTATGTCAACAACTGCAACAGGGAGGCAGGAAAAACAGTGGTGTGTGCGTGGGTGGGGCCAAAGGCCCCAACTGAAAGCTGATTGGCCCCGGAGTACCCACAGCCCTGTCACTCAAGAATTCAAAACGTATCACTGGCCAACATAAGGTTGGCCCCTTTATGCCCTTCCTCTATAAAAATGAATTCTAGAATTGCCCCAGATTGAAAATCTGGCATTTCTGTGAGCCGTTAACCGTAGGAAGACAGAACGTTTAGGTGAGAATGGAAAGATCATCCTGTACCAATAATACACGCTCCTGGATTAGCGGCGAAGTGTTTAATGAATCGTCAGAGAAGTCTCAGCCCTGCTCCGTTTAATGGGCTTACGGGTGCTGGTGCAAGCACAATCGCTGCATGTAAACAGCGAAGCTGATCTTTAACGAGGGCGTAAAATGAGTGTTTATAAGGACTCATCGTACGATTATTTTACACTCTCTGGAGCCTTTGTCAAAGCGATGAATCGGTTAGCCAGGCTTGTCAACGAAAGGTCGTACGTTGTGGCTAGTTAGAGACAAAGCTTCTGGGCAAATGTCTGCAGACCTTTCAGCTGTTGAAGGAGGTATCTAACCTGGAATGCTTCCATGAAATACAGCTTTCTCCTCTTAAAGGGCATGGCTGTACCCTCTGAATGAGGCCTTGTATGGAAGTCTTTGCCATAGCAGGGCCAATGACAGATGACTGTAATTGTAATGATTATAACACAGCGTACGGCTCTGTGGGACCAGCATCCATATTCCTATGTGACCTTTCGGGACCTTACAGCGCAAGCTTTTACGGGGTGATAATCCATTGTAATGAGGCCTGCTGAGAGAAACCATTCTACGTTTTATGCTTTTATAAACGTATTTTTTTCCCTATTCGTCAGACTGTCACCATACTTGGTGATTAACGTTTACTGCGGAATTTGTCAAACAACGCAACAATGCAGTATGTTTTGTCAGCAATCATCCTCAGGAACGTCCCTGATGTTTTCACCCACATGTATTTCCGCGTGTCGTTTACGCCCACGCATCGTCATGGTTACAGAATCCCTACAACCCGTCGATTGGCGGCAATAACAGCGGCAATCGTATTAAACTGAAATCCAGCCCACGTGTAGCAGCAGAGCCCGTCGATTCTGGCAATAATTCTTTGTTAACTGACTTTATTATTCGGATTAACTACTTTTTTTAAGCAGGGCATAGCAAGGGCACTATGAAATTACAGCCAGAGCACCACTTCCTGTCCGGCTGGGACTCTGAAGGGCTTGTATAACATGGCTCTGGGAAGAGGTGTTTCTGGCAATAAAAAGGTAAAGAGGAGGCCATTACCGGCAGCCTTTGGGAAGTATTTCCAGCAAATGACCTGGAACACTTCTAAGATGGGATCTCGGCTGAGTTCTCCCAACATCTGCTACTGGGAAAAAAAACTTCCTCATAAAAGGCGAGTGGTTGGAATGTGCGAGTTGTAGTGGGCGGGACTTGGGGCCAATCGAGACGGCGCTGGCGGGAGGTGGTGGGGGGGCGAGAAGACCACAGCAAAAGGGCTCCCCTCAGTGCTTAATTTGTGCCACATCCTGCCAGGATGCATTCCGGGACCTTTCTGTTTCTGACTCTGTGTTCCGCCACCTATTTGCACAGATCCAGCAGCTCGCAAAAAATATTGCACAAAAAAATTAAGCGAAGTATGTCTTTTAATTTACAGACCATGTTTTCAGCACCATGCTGTGTACACGTCCCGGGACCTGCGCCTTCCTCGTTACACCTCCGCTCTCATATGCCCTTCATGTTCCAGCACCTTCCAATTTACCGTAAGGACATCTCTGGGGGGAGGCCTATTTGTCCCTGAGCAACCACTGAATATCCTCAGAAATGAGATGCAGGATTTTTTGTGGCGTGGGGCCATAATTAAACAATAAAACGGGATAATAAAAGTTTTTTCATTCTTAATTCACACAGTGGTGCCAGCCTTATCAGTAGCCAATGATATGTTCTGAATTGGTGAGTGACAGGGGAGAGGGCCAATCAGCTGTCAGATGGGGCCAGTGCCGCTGTGGCCCCGCCCTACTACACGCCTCTGTTCTAATTGGTTCTAAGAAATATTGTTTGAATGAATTCATCCATTTTTCATGCCTCCTTATCCAGGTCATGAACCTGGCACCCAGTTTTATCAAGGAGTGAAATCTGGTACACAGATAAGCTCTGGAGGGCCAATGGTCGGCGGCAGTGGGAGTCCAAGGTCATACCTCCCCATCCTTTGACTCCAGACGTAGCTCGCTCCTGCAGCTGGCCTGAATGTCTCCTGCCTCCGCCAGGATCTGCACCCCCTTCGGAGCCTCCATGAACAGGGACCGTGTGGGGGACTCCAGCCTGCAACGCGCAATTAATGAACGAGTAAATAATTAATGCATCAGTCTGCTTGCCCGAGGCAGAGTAAACAAAACAGAAAGCGGGAGCCTCCCTGACATCTCGACACTCTTTGGGGGTAAAATCACGCCCCCCCCCTTCCTCATTACCTCAGCTTGCATGCCTGACCGCTGAAACGCGGCACAAAAAAATGGGTCCCCACAAGGTCAATATAACAGGTTTTTATCACATTGTAGGAATGTAATATATACATAACCCACAACACACATGCATGCAAACTGAAATAGACACGCACAAACACATGCATGCACAAATACAGTTACAAATACACACACACAGAGTCACACACAAACACACACACATATACGTTTATTATCATTTTGCTTATTTTTCTCCCAGACATCCAGGTGACCTCAGAGGATGCTGCCGTATTCAGCCACATTCGTGTCATACGGGCAATCGATTGATGTCCCAGTTCGCCTGAACAGTGTGACACAGCATGCAGACCCGTCTTTATGGACCCGTGTGATGTGCAGTTGGGGGGGGCAGAATCACCGAGCCATTTAGGGTCACTGGGCTTCGTGAGACGAGCTGACACTGTATGCTAGGCGGCACGGCCCCCGCTCGCTCTGCCTACGGCCCCCGCTGGGTAAGAACCCCGGTGCCGTGCTTTCCTGCCCACTTTGCATGTGATCGGGAAGGGGGGGG